CATTTGTTATTGCTTTTCGAGCATTAGTAAATAGAAATGTTCGTTGTTTTTATTTATAAAATTTTCCTGTAGTTTAAAATTTCTTTTAGAATGTCAATTGTCAATCTACAAATCGATAGTTAATCAATATAAATATAATACTTCGATTTCTTGTACAAAATTTAACTGAAGATGCTATATTAACACGATAGAATGATGCTTTATCATCAGTTAATGGAACGCGATATGAAACTTTTAGTGGGTAAGTATTCGAAATGATTTTATTTATAATTTAAAAACTATTATTCTCGTTTTTGTTTTCAGAGCTCTTCTTCGTGTTTTACATGACATAATATTATGAATTTTAACTAATACTCGACAATTATGTGGTCAAATCGATATGACATTAGTTTCTCTTGCATCCGATTACCTTTATGTACTTATGTATATTATGGACTAACTGAACAGATAAAAACTGGTTTCTATCAAAGTCAAAAGAGATTAAGCTTTGATCATAATCTATATGATAGTAACATATCACCCATTAATTTGAAGATAAAACTTTCCTGCAATTCATTAATTACTAATGAGCTAGCGAAAAACATTTGACTTTAAAATTCCTATGCTTATATAAAATCTATAATTTTATTTTAGTTAAACAATTTTGAACAATTGTAAATGATTTTTGTCAATTATGAATTCATGATGAAACTGTACATCGTCTTGATACATTTTCATATTTAACTATTTTAAGTGAATGTTTTAAATTATTATAATCATCATTTTATATACCATTATTATTAAAATGAATACATATTCTTAATATGCTTGATTATACATAAGAAGCATGGTAATCATCGATATTAACACCATCATCATCAAGAATACTTTTTATCTATAAGTGGTCAATTACAATCTTATTGTGATTTAATATGTCATCATGAATTATATGTTGAACATTTTACATCAATAACAACACATTATCAATTATTATTATTATTATTTTTTATTTGAACAAAGTGATATATGTACATAATTTATTTGATCTTATACATCATATCATTTATTCGTTTGTGAAGGAATAACATTTAGATGAAAGTGGTCTTGTATTAGTTTTATTAATTGAACAATTTCTTCCATTACCATATATATATATATATCTGTATTATGTTTAGCTGAATTAATTGTTTATGATCGTATTGAAATGATGTTAGCACTTGACCAACAAACATTAAATAAACAATTATTACCTAAATATTTACCATTAATTTTATAAATATTATCAATCGATATTATTAAAGAAGATTTTAATAATCTTAATTATCCCAGGGATATAACAAGAAAAATTTATGCACAAATGCTTAAAAATGTAACTTATAAAAAATGATTACCATTTATGATGTCATCAGTATGTTTTAGTTTAATTTATCAAAATAAATATATATATATATATGTATAATGAAAATTTTAATCCAATTAAAGGAAAAATGTATGTTTTACTTTGACATTGTTTATGTGTCAGTAATAGATGAGACTTTTGAATAATTGAAAACTTCGAAAAGTATTTTGAAAGAGAAAATATGCAAAATTTCAGGTAATACAAATCGTAAAGGAAAGCATTTAAGCTACATTAGTACAATGACCGAATAATTCCTCTCGAATCTCATTGATCAAATTCTCAGTCGTGCTATTTGTACTGTTACAATTAAAGAAAACGACGTCTTTCTAATATTATATCTCGTAAGATCTTTTCGATTGTGTTATTTATTTGCAACTGAAAATAATATTTAGAAATAAATTGCATTCGAGAATTTCGACAAACTTTCTATAGGTTTAAATTCCTGGACTCCGAAAACGTATTGGGTTTTTTACCATAGCATAAAGTTTTTAAGATGATTCTTATAGTAAATGAAAATTGATTTGAGACAATAAGAATCAATATAAATCTGTTATTTTTTTGTTTCCCTAGGATTTTGTATACTTATTAAATGTCTCATTGTCTTATCCTTGGTATTTTATCAACACAACGATCAATATGAAATGATACAAATTAAAATGATGTTGAAACAACATCTAATACAATTTATGTAAAAAGTCTTTTATCATGCTGTAATAATCAATCATATTAAATTGCATTAATAGATTCTATATCAATGTATTTTGATAAAATACAAAATCATGTTGAATTTTCAACAGGTGATATACGTGATTTATTACGTTTTATAATATTTATATCAAAAATAATTTATATAAATATTTTTCAAAAAAAAAAATTATTTCTTAGTTGTGAAATAGATCAAATAATATCATATTGTACGTTATCGAAAACACTTATCAATATTTGAATATCATTATCAACGACATGGGTTTAACTCCATCAAATAAATAAATCAATAATTATAATCATTTTTAAATTTAATTGAACCAGATAATAGATCATTTATACAATTATTACTTTTATTATTTAACAAGAAAAATTAAATATATAAATCATATATTTATTGGCATGAGATTTACATTGTATAGCTATATTTATTATTTTGTTTACCAATATTTATATAAAGACAATTTTGAAAGTTGGTTGATTATCAAGAATACAATTTCAAGAAATATGGGTTTCATTTTTCGCTTCAATTAATCCATCACAAATCAATCTGATGATGAAAATAAACAAACAACAAATAATTTTAAAAAAAAGAAGAAACTTTAGAAACAAATGCAACACAATGGTAACAAGATTGAAAAATAAACTAGATTTTATCTGTTCTTTTTTTATCGGTGGTCAATATATGCAAATACGTTCAACATTATATACAAGTTCAAAGAATTTATTTACAAATATTAAACGGTTAGATACACGTGATTTATTATCCTATGGACAACTTTCATATGATACTATATTAATATCAATTCAAACTAATAATCTAGTGTTTCTCTGACTTTGATTTTATATATAATATATACAAACTATCTTATTTCATATAGATAAAAGCTTATATCAATAATTTCAAATATATTCTATCAATCAGAAAATTACAGTATGAACCTTTCCTTCGCTGGCGTCCACCTTTAAGATATATATAATTTAGAGTTTATTTGATCGTTTATTTTCTCGTCATGATCTTAATTTAACATTATCATTACAAATTCTAATTGAAATATATGATCGTTGGTTAACAACAAAATTCAAATACTTTTTGTATTCAATTAAAATATGAATTAATAGGTTCATTTATATATATCTATCTGATTTATTTCCATCAATCAAATTTATATGATTTATGTGATGAATATTTTCGTACATGGTTTGATGAAGATTATTTAATGATATCCTTAATAAGTTATAATGTATGTAAATCTGGTACATTACTTGGACAAGCAACAACATGTTCATTTTTAATTGAAAGTGATGAAGTTGATTTAAATTCATATGATATTTTATTATCATTGATTAAAGATGATAATTTAACACAAAAAATTATATCAATTAGTCTTGAAAAACTTTTAATAGTTGGTCAATATCGTAAAAATGATATATAGCGTTTATATGAACGTTCAATAACAATAATACGTCAATCATCATCGTTTAATATTGATTATCTTGTTTGAATACTTACACGTATTTATAGATTATTACAATGACCAAATGAAAATATAAATTCATTAAATAATAAACATGTTAATGAAGAACAAGAAATGATTGATAGTTCATTAATAATATCATCATCAGATAATATTCTTATTGTACTTGTTGCAGAATTATATGAACGTACTAAACAATCATTAACATTACCATATGAAGCTTTACTTTTATTACGTCCATTAACATTATTACTTGCATATACAGTTTTTGCTTTTTTTTCGTGCTTTAATTAATGCACGTTATTCAACTAAAGTTAATGAATGGACTTTATTATCAATGACAAATATTATACAAAGAAAATCAATAGGCATGGCTATATGTGGGTTAACTTGTCTTATGTTAAGTGCATGTCCATCACATACAATTGCTGATGCATTGTAGGTATTTACTTTAATCATTTATCCTTGCTGATTGTTTTTCTTAGTTCTTTATATTAATCTTTAAAGAAAAAAAAAACTTTATATTGAAATTTCATACTGATGATTTAATAGTGAATTAATATTGCACGAGTTTTTCTGAATTTATTTTTATGAGTAAAATAGAGTGAAGTCGTATTTGAACTGTTGGATGAGCTATTTTTTTCCACCTATAGTTAAATATTCGTCCTAGTTTTCTTTTCCGAAGGAATAACGATCAATTAAAAATGAATAAATTACGCGGCAGTTTAAAGTAAACACTTTACTCTATCTATCGAGTTGTAAATCACAAAATCAATAAATTTCGCCATGAAATGTCAAAATGAATTCTCATAGATAATATGGTATATCTTTTACTTTTTTATGTTTTCATTGACATTATTACGTTTCTGTGCTCGTTTTGAAAAATTAGACAATCGTTTATTTCTAGTCGGGAATATTATCTGCAGGTATTATAAACGAGACAAAAGAAAACCTCCAAATATTGATTGTATGAGAAAAAAATCTATTTTACTTATTTTAGTTAACGAATATCGAACAACGATGTCAATTTGAACAAGCATTCATAAATGAATCGAATCAAAAAAAATTATATGCTGATTTACTTGCACACATTCAAAATACAATCTTATCATGGTCTTGGTGTGGATGTAGATATTGTTTGGATGTGTTGATGCATCATATACTCTCTCTCTCTCTCTCTCTCTCTTACCCACACCCTCAATAAAGACTAAAAATATCGATTCATAAAATGAAAACATATCAACAAGAATTCATTTATCTACTTTTTTTTACTAGAATCGGTCTATGTTATAACAATCATATCTAAATTTTCTAAACCAATCAGAATAGGTTGTTATTAAATTTTAGATGCATGTATTAATACAAAATCCGTTAAGTAAAATATCTCTAGTGAACATTATTGTTGTTTGCAAAAGATAATCAATTTCCACGAAAACCATCAGTCTCATTTATTTTGTGTATTTGTGCTCTAATTTCTGTTTGACTTATTGAGTTGTATTTCATATTGTGTGTTTTATTATGATTTCAACCATTGATTTAACTAGTAAATAAGTCGGTTACATGTATCCATTAAAGTTAGAACAGGGCAAGTTCACCTTTTTTATATTGATCCCATAACGAATAAATACTATTTAAAGTATTCACAAACATATTTCAGCCATTGAAGTTTCAAGGAAGGCTTTTAAATGTTTTAGAATAGTCTAAATCTGGTTGATGATGTCATTCAATGCCTGTTCTGTTGTCATTCTTTCTCCTTTTACTAGGAAAACCATGCTCATTGGTCTCTAATATTTAAATCATGTCGCTGAAATCTAAGAGGAAAATGCACAAATCTGAATTAAAACTTGCTTTTATAACCAGTACTCTTTGAATCGTTTTGATTTAGTATATTATATGTAAAAGCATCTACCATACTTCATCTTATTGACTTGTTTTCTGGAAACCCGTTAATAATGATAAATTCAAAAAGTCTCGCACTACAATTGTTTCTTTTTATTCAAATAACAATTCTTTTTTCTTGTTTTATTATTCTTACTTTTTATTATTTTGTTATCAATACAAAAAAAATTTCATAGTAAAGAAAAAAATTGAATATTTTAATGTAAAAAGCAATTCATCATTATTTTTAGTCAATATTATTATTATGATTTTTATGTACAAAATAAAAATTGTTCATATTCTAAATACAAACATTCTCAAACTCCTGACTGACATCAACAAGATTGTCTATATATGTACCGTTCATCTCACCTTCATATATTAGAAAATATGGACATCAGTGTTTTCTTATAAGATGACAGTCCGATTATCGTTGGGCAGTATTTAACGATAACTATCAGAAAGAGAATCAAACAAACTTCCACAGATTCGAGTTCAGTTCAGTGCCTGACAGGCGTGGTATTTTTCTGTTAAGTTATTTTAGATTTTAAATTTCTGAGAATTTATTTATGAAAATCATAAACTTTGGGAAAGTTCAAACTCAATAATACAATCATTAAAATAGATTACTTCAGAAAAAATAGATCATTAATAACGAAAATCCGATCGTCACTATAGAATATTCTGTAAGAAAATGGTTGCACCGTGTTCCTGTTACATTCTAAAGACTTGTACACACAGTCAGGTTAAACAAGCAGACAGTAAGATCTTACAAGATAGAATACTTCAAACATCCTTAGATTTTATTTTAAGTTTATTTTAACTTTTTAAAAATAATTTCTGAACTTAATAAATATTTATAAATGTAAATTGATTGCTCATAATCGTTGTTGCAAAATATTTCATCGAACATCGTTTAATAATCGCATATAACATCACAATTTTACAAAAATGATTATATATCAGCTAATCTTTTTTTTCATGTGCCTATCTATATTTATTCATTTTTTCAAAATTACTAATATCTGTTTATGGCAAAAGTCGTTGTTCCAATGAATAGCAGGATGTCGAATCCTGTTCTATTTTCATTACTGAGAATAGGAGAGATGATTAGCAACTTATGAACGAGCTGATGACACGAAAGATGGTCGTATTCTTCAAAACTTTTTTTCTCATAATCTACTTTCGTGATTTTAATTTTCTGTTCTAACTTACGTAACTTTGCTTCAACTGTTGTTTTGTCATTGAAACAGTAAACTTTGCACACATGTGACGAAACAAAATAAAGAAATTTTTTCCCCTAAAATTTAATTTAAACAGAAGTATATGCAATAAGGTATGGGTTTTCAGTTCATCTATAAATTCACACATCCTATTGTCTATGAATTATGGTTAGAATAGAAAAAGTCTAAAATAAATATTGTTTTCGAATTTCTATCTTCTGTTCCAACCGATTCTAGTCATTCTAAATCTGATCAGAACTGAATTTAAGCAAGTCAAATGATTGAATTTATAGTGGGACTTTAATGCTCAGTGAGTAACATAAGTTATCGTTGTATTCTTCACCTTTTTTTCCCTAGAGAAATATTTCTTTTTTTTTTTATTTTGGGACAATTATTAATTTAGCTTGCTTTTTGTTTCAACAAGGAAGTCGTTGCCAACTCGTCTAGACTAAGAAAATATTTTCCTACAGTTACAGTTAATTGTCTCTCTCTTCTGAATAGATCAATGAACCTAATCAACATTACTCTAGCTAATAATTGTCATTGATATCTACTTTCAAGAATCATCAGAATCATAGACTCGATTATCCGATTGTATAATTGCCATACATTTAATCTCGCCGAACTTTATTTTATTGAAATATACAGTTACCCGATTTCCTCCAAAATGACTTTCTCCAATATATAATTCCCTGAAATCTTGCGAAGACATCTTTTCGTAAACATTCGCCATCGATGAAATTCAGAAACTCTGAGATATTATCAATTAAGTCTTCTGATCTTAAATGAATATATTTCTTTCGAATGCATGAAAATTTACATGAAATTGTAATTAGCTTGTGTCGCACAAATATTCACTCTATTCTTTGATTAATCTTAAGAAAATCTTGTATTTCTTACCAAAAAAAAACAATCTTTATATGTGGATATTTTGAGTATAAATTCTCCCAAAAGTTATTCAAAAGAAAAAGAGGACTTTGCAAGGTCATGATACTTAAAATAATGACGCTAGAACCTTGTGAAACGCTGGTAGAAATACGTAGTAGTTATGTCATTGATTGTTTTAAAAACTACAGATTGAAAACATGAAAACAAAAAACATGTCTGCTAAATCCGACTGAAGTATCAGCTAGTCAAAGAAACATTTGAATTAGTAGTCTTAATAATTATTTCAATACACAGCAGTATGTGTGCGCAAATTTTTTGATCGCTAGTAAATTTATCGATAAAAATCTTGAACAATCTGTTCAAATTCTTCTGAAAAGTCATGATTTTTTATAAATATACTTATGCGCTCATATTAAAGATGTGTTCTATCTTAAATACTGCTTCGTCCTAGATTGAGATGATTCCAGTGGATGATAAATTTAATTTCGTCAACTGTTGTCTTCTTAGGAAGAATGAGTTCGTCGATGAAACAAAAACATTTATCAAATAAAAACTTCCATGGTTCTACAGACTACGTATGCCTTTTTCTTTTGATATTGAATATGATTGTTGTTACTCTTTTCAAGGAACTAGTGCCTTTGGTCAATGTTAAATTCAAGTGGCAAATCTGTTTCTGTATTCTCTATCATTATAAGTATAGCTATAGTCATTGGCATACTAATAGTTTATTCTAACACATCACAAACATCAGACATTTTACTTCTTGTTTTACATGTGCTGTATTTCTACGATGAATATAGGTAACAATGTTTTGGACTTTTTGGTTAAAAAAAGCATCAAATTTTGATAGCATTTGATATCGATATCTTCTAAGTAAATTATCGGTTGAGAAGAAAGTTAGGAGAGTTAAAAATTCTTCACTTTGATCCGATTATATATAGATGACTGAGTCAAATTGTTTGATCTGCCTCTTCTATTTTTTTTGTCATAAATCTTTTAAAGTTCTACAAAAAATTTCTTTTTCTCTATCAAATTCGTGTAGTTTTTGGATATAATAAAAGGCGATTGAAAAGTCTCGACTCCTATCAGTAAATAAATGATAATTGATCGAAATATATGATTTCATAGAGGAAAAGAGAGAGCTTCATTTGGCAAGAAGATACTTTCACATGCATCAATATATTCCACTGCTTTTTGGTATATTTTATCAATTTCGAGTGAATCATTTCAGCTTACATTTTTGAGAAAAAATCTTTTTCATAACAGCAGTATGTCTTTGATCCCCACAAGGGTTTTATAGAAGACTTATCATTTCAATGAAATAATATTCATTTATCTCGCATCTGCTATTGAATTTTAAAAAGAACATTAAGATAATTTTAATGAAATCTGCAAAAATCGTCGAAAAATATTTCCAAGCAGGTATGATATGAGACAACAAATTCCAAAACAGGAAACATTGTAAAATAAGATTGTCAACATGAATGCCTTTAGGAATATAAAGAATGTTACAAAACTGCAATCATAATCATTTAAATTGACGAATATTATTCCATTGAAGGGACACATTTTGTACTAAACCGTTTCGGATAAAGACATACAACTGTTATGCAAAAAATTTTTCTAAAAATTCTTCTCAATGAAATGTAAGATGAAGCTAGTCATTGAAGATTAGTACGATAGGAATAACATTGGACTAGATTGATGCATTCTACAAAATTACCTATTTCAATCAATTAACAGATTATAAATTCGTGATAGACATCCTTAATTCGCTGAGAGGATCGAAAGTTCCGAATCATCCTTTATTTTTATATAATGAGTAACAAGTGAAACTGATTCCTTATTCATATATAAAAACATCTTTTTTGAAAAATTCAATGATCATCTTCTTAGATTAACTCGTCATATTTGTCTCTCCATATCGGAACGGCAATGAGACAAATACTTGTAAGGTTTTTTACATCAAACTATCAGCTGTAACTGAGAGTTTCTACACTAAAAAAAGCTGATTTTGGTGTGGGTGTCAGAAGAAGTGAATGACACACCCACACCCTAAATTGAAACTTTAATACCACAACAAGAACATGTATTTTTCATTGACGAAATTATGTAATCAATCTCAGTAGGATTACAGACAATTAGTAAAACTATTTGCTTATGTATTAAAGCATTTGGAAAACATGATCAGAATCTGACATGTTCAATGATGAACGAGAAAACCTGAAAATATCAGCACACAGAATCAATGTTATTTGATTTTCAACAAAAAATAATCATCATGGTAATAAGAAAGAAAAGAAAATAATAAAAAGATTTCATCAAAATCGCTACGATCAAAGAGAACATCTATTGAGATTTCTCTTCACATTAAAGACAAACGTGGATGAATCGTGCCATGGACTAGTCTGATTCATACCAAGTTTGACTCACTTCCAACAACCAGTTTTCTTAGTAAGAATTGTTCAATCCTGTTTGTTGTTTCACTATGAAAACTACTATTATTCCGCAACTTCGACGAATATCAACTCATAAATCTATATTGAATAAATATCGTCTTATTAAACGCAAAAGTAAGTTCCTTGTAACTAAAAAATAAAAAATCGAAAGAACAGGGGCGCATAAGAAGCCGATTTGGCCCATATAATATTTTCAGTCAATTTATTGCCCATCCTATGTGGAAAAATGTGGCGATGTTTTTGGCAATAAATTGAAGTCAAACTGTAAGGATTATAAGCGATTTTGAGGGAGAATACCTGCAAAAAAGTATTGAAGTTTCATTGGGCTCATAGTTGTCTAGTATTAGCTCAAAATATACGACTTTTAGGCAATGTTTCAAGCTCAATCTATATTGGTCAGAAAGAGCATTTAATTCTGCATCGTTTCATGTAAGAACTAATATTTTTTCATTANTGTGAACGATCAGACAAAATTCCAGAAGGCAAAGCATCACATACACTTTATTTAGCTGGTGTCTATCGTGGTGGACATGATGTACTTGTTCGAGCAAAAATGGCATTGGGTGGTACAACAGCAGATCCAGGAGCGCAAGCAATTGCCATGCAATTAACAATACGTTCGACGGATGAATCAGCTGTGCATGTTATTGCTTCAGCAGTCGAATAAATAAATAACAAAAACATTGATACATTTTATTAGCATACTTTTTTTCGTTGTGTGGGACTTTTTATCGATGTGCGAGTGTTATAAACTTATCATTCTCTTACTCTAAATAATATAAACAGAAACATATTTTTTTGTCGATGATTGTCTCATCATAGTGCCTAATCTAAAAAACAATCGATTACTTTAGCAACGATTCGGAACAAACATTGATAAAGGCTATTAGAAAATATACTTTTTTTTCTTATGAAGTTCATTTTTCTATTTATTGAAAACTCAAATTCAAATATGAAAAATCTCATATGATTATAAAAGATTATTTTAAATATTCTTCTTCCATTTGAACAATATTATTTCGGACAAAATTTATGCAATATTACATTATTAAACATCAAAATAAATGAAAATGAATTAAAGATACGTTGACGAAATCATTAATTATTTATTGGCATTTCATGAAAAGATAAGTTGAGAAAATGTTATCGATTGGTTGCAGCTCATTTAAGTTTTCTATATGATTGTAAAATAGTTTAGTTGAACTGATATTGTTATAGCTAAAATAAAATATCCTTTACGTAGAATTGACAATCGTTGATGACTAAAATGATCATGAAGTTCACCTAACTTTGATAAGTGATTGAAAAAATTTAATTTTTGATACCTGAACTATGTTGTTGTTTTGTAAATCATAAAAAAAATTTATTTCTCCTATAGTATGAACAAAGTTACATTGAGAAGTAAGATAAAATAAATCTACTAAAAAAAAAGGTATGCAAACAGTAATTATGTGTCTACTATCCTTATTAAAATGAAAAGAAAAGTGATTGTTTTCGAAAAAACTACCCGAAGTCTTAAAATAGTAAATTTAATATTGAAAAATTTCTTCAGTCTTTCTAGTCGATTGACAAAAAAAAGTAATCTGATCGATTTCTACATTTGAGAAATTATTTAAATTATTTTCCTTTATCATATATAAAATAATAATTAATCTCTAATATATAATTCTCTCTTCGATGTCTTATAACGATTGACTTTTTCCAAAACTTACTCTTACATATTTAACAAATGGAAAACAAACTTAATTCTGTACACACCTCTTTAAGACTTTGAGTACAAGTGACAAGAATTCTCGTCCTGAAATTTCAGATTTTGAATAGCTTTCATAAATATTACAGATTTATTATTAAATGTAATGAAATCTGCGATTATTTATATTTATGATATTTACTTGGTCAAGATAAACTACTTTTACTGACGATCATTGATGTCCCTTAAAATAAATATTGATTTTTAGTTTTGAAAACTTACATTTTTGTCAAAAAAAAATGAATTGCATATTCAATGGATTAACGGCACACACATGTTTATGTGAATTTGGAAAATTCGAAAATAGAGCTTGCAATTTCAATTCTTTTTGACTTCATATGGATAAGACAAGAAATAGATAACAATGATCATCTTACTTGTTTCGTTTATTTTATAGAACGATTGAATATTTTTTTTTCTTGATCTATCAAGAATATTGTCACACGTTATCATTTAATAATACAAAGAAAATATTTTACTGAACATAGTGTTAGTTGAACTATATAATACAATAAAGAAAATGAAAACATCAAAGATTATTTCATCAAGAATAATATAGAATACATTAGGAAACTAGATGACAAACAAGTAAAAACTACAATGCGAATTGCGTTATTATACTTTCAAAAATTTGTTGATAGACTTTTTGAAATGCTCTTCAAATATAATTCAATACTGGAATTAAATAGAAAGTGAGCCTGTTTTTGTGCCAGTATCTAAACTTAAATGACAGATTATTTTCTTTTGCATAGATAATATAAACATTATATTTGTTAAAAACTTGTTTCAATCAGTCAATGTAAGTTGAAAGAAATTGAAAAATATGTATGGCGATTAGTGTTAATACAAAACTTCTGTTAAAATGTTTTAGCATGTTTCGGAAGAAAATGCTATGGACCGATCGTTTAATTTATATATTATTAGCTGTTGTTACAGATGTAACACATAAAACTTGGCTATTCTCAATTTAGTTTTCTGTATAGAAGTAAATAACTTTTTTAAGATCTCAAATTGTAAGATTTTATTTTCGCATTCGGAGAAAAGTTTTGATTATCTGCTCTTTAGGTCATTCCATCAGAAAGTACAAACTTTTACTTCATATCTATAGAAACATCGGTATTCATAAATACTGTACTTCGCACTGCATTAAATAGACTGAAATTGATATACGAAAAAGTTATTGATAGTGATGCATGAAAGCTCTTTGAAAAATGATATGTGATGTGATGATGCACAAAAGCAAAAATTAAGCAAGTTGGAAACATTATGTGTGAACCATCTCTATTAATAAATCAAACAAAAAATGGCTAAATTTCTGTGGTTGCTCGCATAAAATTCCATCAATCAGATAAAAGCTATGATCGAATCGTTGATAAGTTAGGATGATGTGAAAAATTACAACTACTACAAACTAAATGATTATTGAGCTTGTTATTGATGAGAGAAAAAAAGAATGTCGCTAGAAAAGAAAATAATATCAACCGAATTATATGTGAACACATGACACACATCGATACATATGCATAATATTCATATGTGATTCAAAGGTTTGTTTCATTGTTTTTATTTTTCATTAATCAAAGATAAACTTCAAGTTTGAAGATAAATACAGATTATATTTCAATCCTTAATAATCTGACATTGTTTTGTTTATAAATTATTTATATAAAATAAAACTATAAGAATACAATGATTGCTTATATAATGAAGTCGTATGACGAAAAAGTCATATCTGATTAAACAACAAAGATTTATTTTCTAGGATATTCTAAGAAATATAACAAAAACAAAATTTTTTTTATATTTCTGTTCGGTTATCAATTATTTTATATGAAGAAATGATGAAAGAAAAATTAAGAATAATAAGATTAATTTTATAATCTTGTTGATAATTCTATATGTTTTCAGTAAACGTAAACAATATCGAGTCGATAAAGGAAACATTTTTGAACATTATAGATTAGGCTCATGAAGTACATAATGTGTTTGATATGTTGAAAACATTATTAAATTAGACAAAAAAAAAACACTTCAATTCAATTATTTTACTATGAATGAATCAATCAAATATTGGCGTATCCGTTTTAGTTTTAAACAAAGAAGTCTAGATAAAACAGTTTCACGTATATTTAGACAATTAGAATAGACAAAGAACAAGAAAAAAAAAAGTTATAGAAAAGAAAAAGAAGAAAATAAATATTTATTGCAAAGATAAGGCCGATACGTTTTTGTGCATTTCACTGTTTGTTCGACTTGACATACCGAGAAGCACAATAAAAATAGTTCACACTATATTATATATACACAGATATTTTAAACACCAGCAAGTCCTTTGAGTAATGCCGGATCCAAATGAGCGAAATCAAAATCTCTAACAGGCTCTAAAATATTGATAATAAATTGATTAAGTTTCTCGTTTCGGAAACAATTATTTAATGGATCATAAAATTGTTGTAGACATGCATCGCTACATTGACTTAATAATTGAAACCAATCTGATAGTAAATGAAGTCTAAAATATTATATTAAATAAATAATAATCAAAAAAATAATAATCAAAAACATACTTGCAAGCTAAACAACACCAACTTTGAAAGCGACCATCTTTACCAAACGTAGCAAGACCTTTTTCAATTGATCGAACTCCATTTATATAACAAATAATAGTTTTTTCTAATTTAGTACGTTGCCATTGGGATCGACGTCCATCATATTCATCACAAACTTTAACTGAATAGAAATATATTGATAAAATATATAAAAAAAAGAAATAAAGAACTAAATATTTACTTAAAAAGTCCCAAACATATCGTTTTCGTCCACCACCAAAAAATGGAACATTACCAGTTGATTTTTTCAAACCACAGGAAAGAGTCTTTTCTAATGCATTAACAATACCATCTTCACCACATAAAATCGGTGTTATTAGTCCTCTCTAAAATAATTTGTAATAGAAATTTTTTGAAAATAAAAAATTTTATTTAAATTACTTTTTTTTCAGGTTCATCAAAATATTTAACTAATTGATTTATTGATCGACCCAACAATTCATAAATATCATCAGTTTGTTGATTATTTGATTGATTTTCTAAATAATAAACAAAATCGAATTGTACATGATTGCTCAAAAAAAACAAAAAAAAAAGATATTGTTAGATCAGTAGCAGCGGTAGTGCTGGGATGTCAAAGAAAAAAAAAGAGTACAAAATAAATCACTATGTCATGCAAATCTTACGACGATAAAAATTTTCCGAAAACCAACTGACGACAAAATCTGTAGGGGATGTTCATGTGACATTAATAATGTCATGAATTAAAATATAAATACGGAAAAAATGTCTTACTTTGATCAATAGAACGTCGTAAACTAGGCGATCGAGATCTTATTGAAACGGATAAATTAGCTTGAGATCCACCACTTATGAAACTTGTTGTCATTAATTGAGATGGTGAGCCAAAATCAAAGAAACCATTACTATTATTATCGTTCGTTTCAAATGCATATGTTGAATCAATAAAAAGAACTCGTTCCAAACTATCATCATCGACACCTTTACCTAACCATCGACCACATGGAAATCTTTTTTTGAAATTAAAATTAAAAAATAAGAAAAAAAATTAAAATAACAAACCGATAAACATTGTTTGTTAATTGATTTCGAACAAGAACATGATCAATATTCCATCGAGGCATTAAACCACTATTATCATGACCTATTCGAAGTGTTGTTAATTGACCCAAATTTTTGTGCTAACCAGAAAAGAAAAATCATCATAAACTTTTGTTTTTTATTCTATTTCATATAAAATAAAGATTTTACTTTAAATTTAATTTCAAGTGTATTTTTTGATGGTAATGATATAACTTTTGTTGATCCCAAAATACCAGCTAATGCAATATATGGATTAGCAGATGTTGTACTAGAAATTCCTGTTGTTCGTGCTCTGGTAGGAACAATAATAACATGATAAATAATATCAATATCTGGATAAGAATTTGAAAAACATTTATAATCAAGTAATTGAAGAGATTCAATATGAGCTAAAAATTGTTTTCTTAAATCTCCATCATCGGCACGTAAAAAAGCTTCACGTTTATACAAAGCTTGTAATAAATCACTATTAGAAAATAATTCAGATAAATGACGAGATAAAAGACGACGTTCAAGTGCCAAACGAACAAATGCACGAGCAAAACCAATTTCAGATGCTGAAACAGACACTGGATTGTGTCCAAAACATGATTCAATGGAATGAAAATCATGAACTAGAGATGTATTCGACTGATTATCTTTCATCATATTATCGGATGAAGTAAGATTCAGTGTTGAATTTGCCGTTGCTAATAGAGCTGATGAACGTGATTGATGTTGACTCATTTGCGGACGTGGAAGAGTATGAGAACCTTATAAATACATAGAAAAAAATAATTAATAAAATAAAACAAGCATCTATATTGCTTACGATGATTACTGGGAGATTGTGATCGACTAGCTGATGCACTACGATTTACTAATTGTTTTCTCATTAAACACCAAACAACAACTAAATGAAACATTTGATTTAATTTTTAAGAAAAAAAAAGTTTCTTAAAAATGATACCTGGATTTTCATCTTTATTCAATGTTAGTGGAAGACCGGCATGAGACATTTGTGCTGATTCATAATTTTTAAGTTTAACATAATATTTAATATGATTCCATAAAGCAGATTTTCCATTTGGTTTATGATGAAGACCATGAGACCAAGTACGTTCAAGTAAATCACAAAAACCTGCTATTAAAACATTTTCTTCTAAATTAACCATTGATGATGAATCAACATTTTTCATTGTTGATGAACCTTCAACAATATCTTCCATTTTTTCAATAACCATTCGTTTTGTCTTAACAAATAATGAAAGAAAAAGATTTTTCTGTTTTTTTTTTCAATAAAAAAAAAATTTCTTATTTACTTTAGTAGTACATTCTTTAAGTAATTGTTGAAAAACAACATCATTTTCAACAAGTACAACAGGTTGTTGATGATCATATGTAGCAACTGTTTGTTGTTTTTTTAATCTTGTTGTACGTCGTTTTGGATGTTTTGTTTGAAATGATCGAGTTATATGAGAATTTCTTTTTGGAATTCCACTAGATAAAGATGAAGATATATCAATTGATGTTGTTGATTCAAGTAAACTTCCATTAAGATTTTCAAATAAATAAGAAATTTTCGATGTAGAATATGAATTATCAATTGGATGAACTAACGGTACATTCATTACAATTAATGAAGGTGGAATAGGTGATGTAAAACGAAGACGAGTTTCTTCATCAATTGAATCAATTAATGGACAACATTGATAAGTTAAATCACGACGATCACAATATAAACGAATACGATCAGAAAAATACTTTAAAAAAACAAAAACAAAAACAAAAATAATATAAAATAATTTAATTAAAAATATTTACTTGTAAATGTTTATTAGTTAAACCAAAAAGATGATTATCTTCATTAAATTTTGCTGCAATTTTACTATCAACAAATGAAACAAATGATTGTGTTTCCATAAATGCAAGTAAAAAAGGAACATGTGGTTTTGGTTGATCAGCAATAAACATAGTTCGATCAAAATTTTTTGTTGTACTTCGTTGTGCTAACCATTGATCAACATTAGAATATTTACCAACTGGTGGATAACATATAAATGCATCCATTTGACTAAATAATTGGGCAAAACGATTTACAAATGATGCACGTAAACAATTATTCGCTGATATTCGACGTAATTCAGATTCATTAAATAAACATAATGATTTAGTATTATTTTCATCATTATTATTATTGTTATTATTAACAACGATTCCAGCACGTTTAGCTATTGCTGCAAGTCTTGCTAATGCTTGACTTGGTTCATAATTTGATTCTTTTAATAAATTTTGATCATCAATATGTGTCCAATCTTCACTTTTTTGATATTTTACTTTATTTTTAAAAGAATTTCTTGCTAAATTACTATGAATATAATTATTGAATCGAGATAAAATATTATTTAATTCATTTATAAAACGAGTTCGATCTGGAAAACGTGGCATATCATCAGGTAATTGAATATGTCCAGTATCAATATGAACAATACATCGTTGAACTTCAAAAGTTAATTCATCACTTGTATCACTATATCTATCATCATCATCAACATCTTTACCATCGGAATTTATATTAGATTTATTTATACAAATACCCATTATAGCTGGTACAGGTACATCAAGACAAACAAGTGCAGCAGTAAATACAATTGGAACATAAAGAAGTGTCCATTGAAATGGAAATAATAGTGATGTTAAACATTCAGCAACAAGCATTAAACGAGTATAATCTAAATTTATTTATTTTAATAGTTACAATTTTGTTTTATTAATAAGAAAAAAAATCATTTTATATATTAGAATAACTAAAGACAGATATACTTCTTTAAATAACGATTGTTTTGCCAGAATTTAAGACTATAGTAATCAATTACTATCTGAATTTTTACGTAATAATGTTTTAATCTATTGTTAGCTGATTGAGATTGAACTCAATGAAAAAAGAGATTGAAAAACACTGAAATCAAGACCATCATCAAGATACTCAGTAGATGCCAATGCTCAGTATAAAAAAAACTATTGTTGATAAACAAAAGTTTTCTTGCAGCACATAGTTTCTTTTCTATGAAACAACAATTCAAATTTTGTGCCAAATACAATCATGACTCTCTGACAATAACTGTCGCTATATTTTTTATTATCACTTAAGTAGCTGATGATCTTTTTTATGTATTACATTCATTCATAAATATTATATTGTGAAAATCTGACAGGCGATGTTCTCTTAAAAATAATGTTCCAAGCTAAGTTAAGTTTGAGAGTTTAGCAAAAAAAACGAATAAGAGTATCCAAAAAGTATCTTAGAAAACGTCTAAACGTGCCGAAACGTTTGATTTCTTCTCACACGAAAATTTTTGCCTGAAAGCTGTTAATAGACAGCTAGACACGAGCACGACACATCATTTTTGGTCCCGGTAGGGTATTTGTAAAATACATTCTGAGCACCGTTTTATTTGGAACATATATCAGTGAAAAGAGATTGAAGCTCTGAGTCTATTGAATCTACTCTGAGATAAAAACACAAACAAATAGCTATTCGAAAAAAATAACGTTAGTTAAAGTTGTGGTATAAATGTTTAATAGCCCTAGGCAGTTCAAAATATGTTAAAAAACATCTACATTTCACTTCCTTTTTGCAAATATTTACTATGTTGAGTTTTTGACTCCAAGTGAAATCCATTAGATCCAGAATTTCCAACTCTATCGATTGATATATATCTCAAGTAAAACAGCGATCAGAGCTTATTTTACCAACATCCATTAGAGTAAGATCTGGAACAAGACCGTCTTATTCATATATCCACCTGGCAAAAAGTAGTTGCACACAGTATTTTTAACAAATAATTACTATAAATTAACATATTGAGAAAAATAATTATATATTCGGATAGCCCGTGAAATTCTCTACAACTCTATATATAAACATTTTGAATTTCACTTATCTGCTAAAAATAAATTCATGCGCAGCAAAGGCACTCTCATGTTCAGACTACCCGAAAATGCATTTTTTGCTTCTTTTCGTTCATATATTAAAGTTTACTTTGAATATAGGAACAAGTTTTTATAAAAGTAAGTATATATTCTGAAAGTGCATGAAATTCTCTATTACCTTGTACTTCTGTCAGTCTTGACTTGCAAGTATTTGATGAGAAATACTTCGAGTATTGTTAATGTATTCACACATCACGTTCCTGGTGAGGTATTATTGAAAATTTAGGCCATATTTCTGTGCAAAGTGATTCATCATAGATCAATCATTCCTAGTAACATTAAGATCAGGTCTAACAAGTGGATAATTATCCACACATCTTATTCGACTACTGGACCACCATTCATGGAATGCTGTATGAGTTTATGTGAAGTAATCGAGAGTGGGAGCGTCACAATTAGGATACATTAACAATACTCGAAGTATTTGTCATCAAGTACTTGCAAGTCAAGACTGAGAAAAGTATAAGATAATAGAGAATTTCATGCGCTTTCAGAATATATACTTAATTTTATAATAAATTGTTCCTATATTCAAAGTAAACTTTAAAATATAAACGAAAAGAAGCAAAAAATGCATTTCCAAGGAATCTGAACATGAGAGTGCCTTTAATATGCATGAATTTATTTTTAGCAGATAAGTGTAGTTCAAAATGTTTATATATAGAGTGGTAGAGAATTCCACGGGCTATCCGAATATATAATTATTTTTCTCAAAATGTTAATTTATAGTAATTATTTGTTAAAAATACTGTGTGCAACTATTTTTTGCCAGGTGGATATATATATATATATATATAGTTATTATGAAGTCGAATCCTTGCCGAGCATAATGAAAAATTCTAGTGTACAGAATTATTTATCCAAATGAAGAATAAAAAACTGCATACCTGAAGATTTAAGAATAATTTGATGTTCTAATAAAGCGCATGTAACAAGATCAACAACGCCTTCAACACCCAATAAAGAAAAAAAATCCAACAAATTAAAATCTAATAATGGTAAATCTCCATCATGAATACTTGGTTGCCAAACAGTTAGTTGTCGTTCACCAACATTAAATTTTAGAACTGAATGTGATAATGATGGAGATGGTATATATAATTCATGTAATATATTATATAAATGAGCTTCAAATGGTAAACCTAATAAATCATGTTCAATTGTCATACGATAAAGAAGTTCTAAAATACGTTTAAATGTTGAATAATGTGCTTGTGGACCAATTAAACAAATTGTTTTGCTTGCATAAATTACTGATGATGAACGACGTTGATGTCGACATGTTCGATTATAATTTTCAATTAAACGATTTAAAGAAATAAATGCTGTTGATGATGAACATTCAGAAATATTTTCATCATCATTGTTTATTTGTTCAAAAAATGTTAATGCAACACCATAATAATGTGTTCCATCGAGACGTGTTATTAAAAAAGGATGTGTTGTTGGAGGATCGGGAGAATTTTGTCGAATAGAAACACCATCTGGCATTGATAACTATTTATTCAAAAATAATAAAAATATTTAAATATTTTATAAAATTTAAAATTTTTACACGACTAATTGCATCTTCATCAAATGAATTATTTGGAACTTCATGTGGATAATGACATAATACACGACATCGATATGAACATTGAAATGGATTAAAAACTTGTTCACCTACTAAAATATGAGGTTTTTTTTATTTCATTAAATAAACAAAAAGAAAATATTTTTTTCTTTAGTATTTTTTTTACCAGGTAATTCCAATAAAGGTTCAATATCAATATATTTATCTAATCCACAAACTACAAAATAATCAACAAGACGAATTGATTGTTGTTGTTGTTGTTGTTGTTGTTCATTTAATAAAAGTGATTTATCTGGTGATGATATTGAATTGGATGATTCAGGTGAAAGTGTTGTTGATGATGATGTTGGAGAAAACGATTCTATTGGATTAATTATTGGTGATGAATGTTGTGATGAATTAATAAGAGAAGATTTATTTGATACTGTCATTGCAGCTGCCATTGATCATTTCTCTTTAATTATAATCATTAGAGAATATATAAACATAATACAGATAAGATAAGATAGAAATAGTAAATACACTTAACATTTATCTATCAACAAACTATAATCAATAATGACTATGTACAAATGATATATCTAAAAATCAATATATTTTATCACAATCAAAGCAACGATATATCTTATATTAGTTTTTTTTCAAAGAGTTTTGTCCTCCGAAAAGAAAAAAAGAAAAGAATATCAAGTCATTTGAGAAAAACAAAATTCTCTCCAGAAAAAAAAAACAAACAAAAAAGTTAATTGAGTAAATTTGTGGTTATTTGAAGAAATAAAAACTGTTGGATAAACTCTTATATAAAAAGAAAAACCAGAAAGAAATATATGACAAATAAAACAAAAAGAGTTTTGTTAGTAGAATATTTTTACACACTGAAAGTGAGATAATTATGCATACGAAAAACAAAAAATGTTAAGTGACAAAAGCAAAACATAAATAATATTTAAATGATTTGTTTTCAATGGAATGATAAATATGATGGTTGGTTTGTTTGTTTGTTTTGTTTCTAATATAGTTTTTTTTACTGCATTTTTGATCGTTCTAATTTAGTATTGATAATTTCATCTTCACTGTCTAATGCATGTAATGCTTGATCAGCCATTGATGTTGGAATATTATCTTCAACCCATGATAAAGCATCTTCAACTGTACCATTACCACTTGAACCTCCAACTCCACTACCAGATACATTTGCTTCACGATTTAAGAATGCTTGTTTTTGTTTTTTAGTTTTAAGTGATCCACCACTTTCAATATTTGATGCCCTACGCATCGTTATTGAATCAAAGACAGCAGATTCTATGATAGCAAAAAACAAACAAAAAAATCCTCTTTTTTTCTCACATCTACCGAAGATTTAGTTAATGTTGATTGAGAAAAGTTTAATTAAACAAAGATTATTTTAATTTAATAAATTTATTTATTATTTGTATTCATAAATAAAACTACTAAACTATTTTCATATGATGATATTAAAAGACTTTAATAGATAATCTAAAATATTTATAGATTTTCTTATTCTACAAAATTATTATTCTAGAATATCGTAAATAATTCGAAAAATGATTTTTAATCTAAGTAAATCTTGATTATTTATTTTGAAAGATTTTATACAGAATATTTTGTCATAATGAAAAGCATTTGAAAGTAGTATTAATAAGGTAATAAACTTCTGAAAATAATCCATAAAAATTTTCCGTAGATAAATAAATTCGATTAGATCGAATTGACCTTTTACGTGACGGAAAGATCGTTATAGTAATATTTATTTTCTATCTAGAATAGTTTCTCGTATAAAACGACATAAATAGAATAGCGTGACCTTCATCTATCATGTTTTATCACGAGATTATATAAAGATTGAATTACTAATACTAATAATGTCTTAAAGATTGTTTACAATTAAATAAATATTCGAAGAATTCATAAAATTTCTCACTTTATATAACAAGTAAGAAATTAAAAATAATCTTTTTTGAAAATTCCAAGACAAACTATTCATATTAGTAATGTGTTTTATCTAAAAATTCATTTGATTGATTTGTTGAATGTTTTTCTCACTGAAAGATATTTTTTCTTTGAAAAAACAACAACAACAACAACAACACATACATGTATATTTGCTTATAATTGAATAATGATTCGTATTCGTGACGGAGCTGTGCACGGGGCGTTACGTAATGCCCCGTACGCCTCGTGCTATCAGGGACAAAAATGGGTACATAATATTTGAATCAGCTATTCACATATTACATACCCATTTTCTCCCCCTGACACGGGGCATTACGAGACATTACATAACGCCCCGTATACAGCTCTGATTCATGATGTGTCAGATGAGAACGTTACTTTCCCATGGGTAAAAACAAACACATGTATTTATGATTATCTTACCGCCTCTTTCACCGTCTTCATCGCCACATTCATCATCGTCATTATCTGAGTGATCAAGTAATGGAACAAAAGCATAACGTTGATTATTATTTGATGGACGGAATAAAAACATAATGACAAGAAGAATTAAAGAAAATAAAATATGCCAAAATGCATCATCAACCTTAAATTAATTTGTTTATATATATATATATATTAATAAAACAATAAAAGGAAAAATTTACCCAAAATTCTCTCCAATTAGTTATACATATTGTAAAAAAATGTGATTTTAACGACCAAATCATAAATAAAATACTTGCAACAATAGCAAATAAAATAGTATTTGTAAAATGTCGATAAACATTTAATTTAAGTAAATTATTTTTTAAACGTAATGTTCGTGTTGTTGCAACTAAACTAGTAAATATCCAATAATAAATAAGAGCATCAATAATAGCCAATGGTATACGTGATATTAATATTTTATTATTTGTTTCATCATTTTTTGTATTAATTCGAAGAACTGCTTCTGTTGTTGCTATACCAAAATAAAGTATTCCAATAGCAAGAATTTTTTGTTTTAATGGTCCCAAACGTGGTTTAACTATTCCATAACCAAGTGCAACAATAATAACAAGCATACGTGATACTGTACGTTTTAAACATGAAAGAACTTCTGCTGTAACAATTGCATAATGAACTTTATATCTATATGAAAAAGAAAAAATAATAAATTCTATTTTTAACTTAGACTTGATAGTTAATATTAATGTTTACCCATTTCTATTTAATGTATCATATTCAGCTAAAAATGCTGATTTTTCTATCATACCAATAAGAACAACTCCTCCAATTGAAAATTGTATTTTAAGTAATTCTTTCCAATAGAAAGCACACCAAATACACCATACTAGAGCAAAAAGTGCATAAATTGCACACATAACACCATAAAAAACTAAAGCTGGATATTCATCAGCTGTGATATAACCTCCACGAAGATTTTTCATTGATACAATAACATCAACATCAAGTCCAGAAGAATCTGAACCTGATTTTTCTGGTGAATAAATCTCGATAAGATAATATCCATCAGCCCATGTTAATAATGTTCCTGTACTTGAACGTAAACTATTAACTAAATGTGATGATACATCATCATTATCACGACGATTTCTTTTATTTTTATTTTTATTTTTAGTTGTCTGTTGTGATCTTAATAAAATAGCTTGTTCTGGTGTTATTTCTGGTATAATAATGTCTGAATATTCCTCAATAAATAAATTTGTTCCTGAATAATCACAATCTGACTGTCTTGCTGTAAATGTTCTTTGCTCCATTTCTTTCCATATGAGATTATAATACATTTGTAAAAGATTTTTTTGTGCATTTTTATCGTCTTTTGTTGTACTTGTAAATGAATCTGATTGTATTGGTAAACATCCAACAACACGACCAATTCTACCACGAATTGTAATATTTGTATCTTTAACTGTTTTGTCTAATTTATATAATTTTTTTTTAATTTGATCTTGTGTTACACTCGCATTTAATGATGGTTCACGACAAAGAATTTTTAATTGAATTTTTGTATTATTTGTTAAAAAACGATCAATTAATGGAACTTGTTCATTTTGTGACCAAGAAATAGTGACAATTCCATCGACAAGAGTTCCTGTAGAATAAGTTACCAAATAGAATAATAGTAAAGAAATGTGTAGATATTCTTTCATTACTATTAATCTAAAAGCGAAAAACAAAATGTTTTAATAAAAGTCAATAGTTGAAAGTTTGTTTGTCTTTTCTTTTTTTTCGTTTTTGCTGTATTTTACTTAAATACGTATGATCGAATAAAAGAGTAACATGTAATTTTTTATTGCACAAATATGTGAATGAATGGATTGTCACTCAGCCATTTCTTTTAAAAAATATATTTATATTGACCAGATTTGTTTGAAGAATTTTTTAAAAATTATTTTTATTTTGAATATTAAAGAAAAACATAAATGTTTCCAAGCTAAATCCATTGAAAAAAGGAAGAAAGGCTCAAGTATTTGATTTCATTGGTTAACTATAATGGATCAATAAAATAGAAAATGATGTCGCCATTGTGGTTTATTGTTTATTTCTTATTGTCTCTTTAACTACTTTTCATTTTTTTTGTTTCTATTCATAAATAAATAGGTGTCAGTTATTGATATTCTTTCGAAGATAAAATCTATTCTCTTATTGTTTTTTTATTAAATAGATATATCGAATAAAAAATTCCTTGATTAAAGAAGGATGAGCAGTCTTTTCCTTCGACATGTAAAATTGACTCATCCTCAAGTAGCATTGATGCTACAATATCAATGTCGTGTAGATGCTTCTACAGCAGCAGTCGGAAGTAAATCTGTTGTGCAACAAAGTCCAGTGGTATTAGATAATACAAAACCACCTCCACCATTAGATGCTGATCGTATGCGTATGCATCCACGTATTGGAAATCGTGAAATAGTTGGTTATGGTTTAAAAGGAAGACCCGAATATTTTGATTTGGTTATGTTTCCTTGTCCAAGTATTCGTTGGGAAGCTGATACACCAGAAATTGCTGAATTAAGAAAAAAAGAAAAAAGTGATTGGAAACAAGTATCAGTTGAAGAAAAAAGACAACGTAAGTTTTCTTTTCTTTTTCTTTTCTTTATTTATCAAGATTTTTCTTTTAGTTTATCGAGCAAGTTTTCGTCAAACATTTGAAGAATTTACAGCTCCAACTGGTGTTTGGAAATGGGCTATTGGATGGAGTTTAATTTCATTAGCAGGTTTAATTATGGCTTATGATGGATGGAGACGTGTTGGTATGAATTTATTTCAAATAAAAATATTCTTTTTTTTTCTTTATATATTGAAATAATTTTAGCCTATAATTTTGATAAACCAGATAGTTTAACTGAAGAAAAATTGAAAAAACAATTACAATTTCATATTGCTGCTCGACAAGGTCCTATGAGACATCTTTCATCTAAATGGGATTATGAAACTGGTTAGTTACTATTTCATTCGCTTTTTTTTTGTTTCGATTAATTTTCATTGATTTCTTTTAGGTACATGGAAAAAATAAAGGATCAAGAAAACATTTCAAACCATTGATCATGTAGAATTAACTTTTTTTGCACCAACATTGGCGTGTATTTTTCTTTCATATGTCCTTTCACTTTTGCGTTGAACCTTCTCTTTAGTTTATATTCTTGTGTACTATGATGATTTCCTGAATAAAACAAATTAACATTATTTGTATTCGTGTAATGTCTTACCTTAAAATGCGAATTTATGCCGATGATTTGTCTTGTATCATACTTAAATTCTTATTTTGACAAACAAGTTCTATTTGTATGATTACCATATAGATTTATTATACCTTTTGAAAGTATTATCAAGACCTATGACTGAAGAATTATCTTTCATTAAAAAATTTCGAGGCAATATTCGGTAATTTTAGTTTTAAACAACATATTCAGTTGAAAACTTGTGAAAAAAATATAATGTTTTGTAGAACTCACATATATTTTCGACGAAAATAGTGAGTATGAGTTTAAGTCGAAGTTTTTGCGGCTCTGTCTCCCTACGTCGTGTTAACAACTAGAAGGAGAAGGTAAATATTTCTTCAATACTCGAATTTTTAGATTTACAGGCCTCGCACAAGTCCTTCTTTCCTTCTTTTTTCCTTTTTTGTGAAGACCATCCTTCTTTGTCCTTCTTTTTCATAAAAATCCTTCTTTTCCTTCGTTTTTAGCTGTTGTGCTAGGAGAATGTTTATATCCACGACAGGATACGTACTTTGTAAAGATTTTTGCATATGTGGAAAAGAATATTTATTGAAACAATCATTCTTTCAAAACATATAAATTACTGATTTACAAGTCTACTGATCTATACAATACATTTCAACTTTTTTAATATTATATCTTTATTCATTTTTTCACTTTCTTTCGAAGTTGATTCATCTGTTCGCTGTTATCATTTAGTTGCGTCTTTAACGCGTCCAGTTTCTTGTTGGCACCCCCAATGAGTAATTGTGCCACTACGATATCACCAAAATTCTTGGTTGCAACAGCAGCTTCAAGACGCGAGTTACCTTCGTCAAGCATTTTCGACGCATTATCTAACTCACTTTGTAAGACTGCGTTCATCGATAAGTTTCTGTTCTTTTTCAATTAAAAGAAGTTCTTTGTCCTTGAGTAATTTTGCAGCAGCTTCAGCTTCTTCCTTCTCTTTAAGTAATCGTTGCATTTTTTCCTGATCAGCATGATATCGAGACTGTGCCTCTTTGACACTGTCGAGAAGGCCTTTACAAATAGGAACCTGCCAAGTAACAATCACATTAATAATAATTAGTTATTAATTAATTGTCTTACTTACTTGATGTACCTTCCCTGATCCATAAAACTTGACAGCATCCTTAGTTGCTAGAATTCCATTGATGAAGGTATTAGTTAAAGACCATCGATCATCGCTAACGAGCGACGCATTTTCGCTGAAGCCACGTTCGACGTCGGCATTTCCATGTGATAATGATAAAATACTCTTGACAAGTTTAGATAATATAAGAAACTTGGTACCACCTGAACTGTTCTTCATTGCAAAGATGTATTTCCAGTAATAATCGACAGGATGATACTTAATGATCTCTTGGGAATTAACGCCGACGCTATTGTGTTTGTACCATTCAATTGGAACGGTTTTGTTTACGTATAAACGCCATTCAGCATTCAATTGATCAAGATCATCGTCGGACAATAAATGAGGTAATTCACGTGCCACTATCATCATACTATTACGAGTAGATTCGTGCTGCCGTAAAAGTGGATGAATAAATCGAACATGTTGTAAAAACTCGTTGTTCAACGGCAATGTTCCCTAGACTGAAAGGATAGGGTCTAGAAACCATAATTCACCTGTGTCTGTTTGTCCGTCTGTCTGTCTGTCTGTAACAAGCGCTTGGTACAAATGACCATTTTTATGGCAAAAATGACCATTTTTGTGGCAAAAATGACCATTCCCGTGGCAAAAATGACCATTCCCGTGGCAAAAATGACCATTCCCGTGGCAAAATGACCATTCCAGTGGCAAAAATGGCCATTCCCATGGCAAAAATGACCATTTTTGTGGCAAAAAATGACCATTTCCGTGGCAAAAATGACCATTCCCGTGGCAAAAATGACCATTCCTGCGGCAAAAATGACCATTTCCGTGGCAAAAATGACCATTTCCGTGGCAAAAATGGCCATTCCCGTGGCTAAAATGACCATTCCCGTGGCGAAAATGGCCATTCCCGTGGCAAAAATGACCATTTTCATGGCAAAAATGACCATTCTAGTGGCAAAAATGACCATTTCCGTGGTAAAAATGGCCATTCTCGTGGCGAAAATGGCCATTCCCGTGGCTAAAATTACCATTTTTGTGGTAAAAATGATCATTTCTATGGCAAAAATGACCATTTTCATGGCAAAAATGGCCATTCCCGTGGCAAAAATGGCCATTCCCGTGGCTAAAATGACCATTCCCGTGGCAAAAATGACCATTTTTATGGCAAAAAATCACCATTTTTATGGTGCAAAATGACCACTTCCATGACACAAATGACCATTTCTATGGTACAAATGACCATTTCCATGGCACAAATGACCATTTTTATGGCACAAATGACGATTTTCATGGCATAAATGACCATTTTTATGGCACAGATGACCATTTATTTGGGACAAATGTCCATTTTCATGGCATAAATGATCATTTACACGGCTCAAATGGTCATTTGTAGGCAAAAAAGCTTTTTGACACTAATTACGAGTCTACTGACCAAGAACTGTTTTACCGTAAGCAATGAGATCGTTTTCACGCGCATGTATGGAAGACACGGAAGTGATGTAAAAAGGCTTTGTGCTTCATTGAGTTTGAGTTTTCAATGTGAAGTTTACGGAGAAAAGTAAAAAATATGAGGATGTATGCATCAGGGCGTTTGAAAGGTTTTTCAGCAGTGGAGAAAGGTGATTTTGCTATACATAAAGCCTAGGCTGGGAAAAGAGACATCGTAGTGTTTAAATTGTGAGCAGTAGAGCATAGTAAGAGGTTATGTAGTACCATTAAGACGAAGTAGCATTTCGAAATAAATATTTCGAAGTTGCTATCCTAATGGTTTTTAGGTACACATAGTATGATGTCAGATAGGATGCAATAAGTAGAACGAACAATGAAAGAATATTTAAGGCGGTGACATGAGTAATTTATTTCGAGTATTAGAAAATATGAGCCGTGCTTGGACATGAAAAACTGGTAAATGGTCGCAATAATGAAAGTTCAAATGTCAGACTGGATGATCGGCAACATATGAACAGACATATTTGGCTTTGATAAACAGCTGAATATCTAGTAGCAGTTAGTAAGACACGCTTTTTGTTTTTGATTCAGCGGATTCTTTCGAGGTAATGTGGAGCCAAATTCCTTGAACCACGCTTGTCGTACACCTTCTACTCTGTCAGTGTCTTATCCCTGATGTTCGTGATGGTAAATAAAAGAACATGTATAAATCTGATATCAATCGAATATACGAGATATTTCTAGTTGCCCGTTTTAAAAGTGAATACACGTAACTATAAGGAACTATGTCGTTAGAACAAGTGGTGTAAGAGAATGTTTTCAGTGACTAAAAGATTGTATTATCTTTTAGTTTTATTCCGATCGCTTTTTTTCGTTGAATCCTTTTACTTCATCTCATATTGTTAATGTCACTAGGGGTCGGCAGTTACCGTTCCCAAACCGTTACCCGGTAATGGTAACGGTAACGGTTCCTATGGAAGGAGTTACCAGTTACTTTTTCCTGGTAACTTTTTAAAAAGACTGTATAAATCTTCTATTAGACCGAATATTGACAATACACCAGTAAAAAAAATTTGGAGTTACCAGTTACCCTGGTAACTGTTGCCCGTGGCCAGTTACCTGGGAACGGGTCAGCTAAAAAAATAACGTAGTTGCAAAATCCTGTTGATGGAAAGTAATAATTCATCTTTCTAGAGAAGTTACCGGAAAAAGTAACTGGTAACGGTCCCGTTACCGTTACCCGGGAACGGTAACGGTAACTTCCCACCCCTAAATGTCACTCTAATCAAGTGGAACATTCTTCTCCATAGCGAGAATTTGAATGAAAATGTTTGGTAGTGCAATGTACTAACAGTGGCCTCATTTGCTCAGTCTAGGGCCCAGTGAATCGACTTTTAACGTCGATGAACCTTACTTGTTTTTATACTATTTCAACAAATGACGACGTCACTTCAACAATTCAGCAAGTCGAAACGGGGCTCTCTTACGCTATATACATTAACGGAGAACCACCCGTAACATTCACGATTGTTGAGCGGATGAAACACCACCATGTGCCAGCGGTTAGTATTGCTCTGATACATAACGGAGAGATTGAATGGACGAAAGCCTATGGTTATTTGGGTGTAGATACAGTAAAAAAAGCTGATGAATCTACCTTATTTCAAGCAGCTTCCATCAGTAAAGCAGTAGCAGCCATAGCTGCTCTGCAACTAGTGGAACAAAACAAAATAGATTTAGATGAAGATGTAAATAAATATCTACAAACTTGGAAGATTAAAAACAGTTCCTTCACTGAAAAAAAACCGATTACCTTACGAGGACTTCTCACACATACGGCAGGCCTTACTGTTCATGGCTTCAATGGTTATGCCCAAACAGAAGAACTGCCTACCTTAATTCAAATCCTCAATGGTGAAAAACCAGCTAATTCACCAGCCGTTATTTCAGACTTGGTCCCAGGCAGCGTTTGGCGTTACTCTGGTGGTGGTTATGTTCTCATGCAGCAATTGCTAGAAGATGTAACAGGTTCTGAATTTCCTACGTTGATGCAACGTTCAGTACTTTCTCCCATTGGTATGAATCGTAGTACTTTCGAATTTACATTGCCATTTTTATGGTCAGAGCAAGCTAGCATTGGTCATGATTCAAGTGGCAAGAAAATATCTGGTTATTGGCACAGATATCCTGAAAGTGCAGCTGCTGGACTATGGACTACACCAACAGACTTGGCCCGATATCTTATTGAAATACAAAAATCTCTACGAGGGGGATCGAAGCAAGTTCTTTCGAAACAGATGACCGAAAAAATGCTTACTAAACATTTGGGTGATTGGGGTTTAGGTCCTGCTTTGTATGGTGATAATAATTCGTTAGTTTTCGGTCACTCTGGTGGTAATGAAGGATATAGATGTCTGTCGTTCTCTTATGCTTATTCAGGTCAAGGTATCGTGATTATGACAAATGGGAATGATGGAATGGACTTGATTATGGAAATAGTAAGAAGTATGGCCAATGCATACAATTGGAGCTCTTATAAACCTATAGTGAAAAATATTGTTACGTTAACGCCTACAAAGTTGGCTATATTTGCAGGAACATATTTGATGAATCAAGAACAAGTTAGCTTGTTAATCATTGTCAAGGAAAACTATTTAGTGGCGAAACAAATCTGGAATGGAAAAGACTTTTTCCTTTATCCAGAAGGTGATTTTGATTTCTTTGAGAGAGAAAATGGCTATTCGATTAAATTTGAATCATCAATCGATGGAACTCTCACTGGACTTCTATTACTCGGAGAGAAGTGGACTAAGATCTAATCATACATGTTAGAAATCGAAGTCGAAATTGACAAGCATGATAGACTATATAAATACTAAGTACCGCATCATCTCTATGTTCATTCTTTTTTAAGCATTTTCTCCAATCAATCGACATAGTGTTGCCACAAGACTATTGGATGCTCATGTTAATAGTTTAGAGATTCAGAAGGGTAGTGTAGGTAGGTAGAAAAAGAAGAGATCAACACTCATACTCACACCATCCATACATCTACTCCCAAACCATTTTTGCTACGAAAAAAATTCAGTCACTTTTGCAGAAAACCATTGAATCTCAATGAATTCATTTATTTACGAATGCAAAATGAAATTCTCAATCAACACACAGAAGTTAGTTAATGTAATTGTAATTAAGAGTGTGTAGTCGTACATGAATCAATGAGAGTGTTATGCAAAAGACATGCTTCACGGGTTGGGCAGTTTATAATCGGGACAATTCCATCCTTTCGGTGATATGAAGATCGTTGAATCGAATTCTTCTTCAACAACAGTATAGTTTGTAAACCACAAGTACTGGTATACATCAAATAATGGCTGTGGAATTGTGGGTGTGGGTGTAGTGATTCTCTTAAACCACACCCATACCCACACCCTCTCTAAAAAACGTGTACAGAAAAAGAAAAAATTATTGATTTACGTGATAATACAGGTAGTGATGATGTTAATATTTCAACAATTATTAAAGTAACTTCAAATAATAACGAAGAAGATCGATTTATTCAAGGTTTATCAGAAAGAAAATTAAAAGTAAAAAAAGAAAATATTTTTTTTTATAAATAAAAATTTAATTCATTCTATGATACCGTCTCATTAGAAAAATCCATCAGGAAATTATCACATTGGAATCAAATCATTAAAACAATTAATGCCAATTTCTGCTTTTGAGCGAATTTTAGTAATTGAAAGTTTCTTCTTTTTTCAAAACATTAAATAATAAAAAATTAATAAAGGAGGGGGGACGGTTTGCACGTAAAACGGCCCTAAATAAAAATCATCTAAGAACACCTTATAAACTTAAATTTCATCCTCCTCTAAGTAAGAATGAGGGATCTGGACCTATTCCAGGCCATCTTTTGAGACCTCTTCTCGTCATTTCTACTAAGGCGAGAAGCATTGCCAATATCGGAATCCTCCAGGGACCATAACCACGACAGTTTACCAATTCACTCTCATACTTTCAGAAAAGATAGAGCTTTTCAAGAGCTACATAATGATCACAAATTGTGAACCGATATATGCTGTGCTCGAAAATCTCCAAGGACCGCAGTGTCCAGATTTTGCAGAAAAAGCAATTCTTCGGATGTCATGATCTACACAATCGTGAGCAGGGTACCTTATAGTATTACCACTTTTATTGTGCAGATTGAGCCTTTCATCAGTGGCAAAGTGAGATTTCAAACTGAAGCAGCAATTGAATTAGTTTCAAATGTGATAGAGCACAGCATTGTAAGCTTATCGGTTAATGAGCAATCGATATAGTGTGTTCAATAATATGTTTAGAAGGAATGATGTATGATAGACTTTGTAGTAGTGATCGAAATTATTACGCTGGGATGAATGGTGCGTTGGACGCTTTTTGATACTGTGGTGTGCTTTTGAGTACATGCGTGTGAGTCAAGGGGGAAAAAACTATTCGGGCATTCGGATCCATTCCATCCATTCCCATCCGTTCCCATCCATTCTCATCCATTCCTTGACTATCAAATATATTTCTGGCTTTCTTAAATTGTCGAAATAGTATAATAAGAATGGATTTTATTTTTCTTAGATTGTCTATCTTCTACTGACCGAAGTCGAAATATTTAGTCATATTGATGATTATTTCACAACAGATTGCATTTAATACTACGAGAATAAGTCTTTAAATTCACAATTGTTGTAAACAATTGTATATACGGTAGAAATTAATATAAGAGAGAGGAGAACTCACCATAACATTTCTGATCACTTTGGGTGTGGGTGTGAGTGTGTGGCTGTGTAAAGAGCGTTTATACACCCACGCCCATATTCGACACCGACACCCACACCCTGACTACTGACTATTGACCGCTAAAGATAATGTAGGGGTATGGATTTTAAGTGTGATGTGGGTGTATATATAAAGAGAAGATCTACATTCACACCTCTCACCCTCGTCTTAACATATTAGTACTGTCTCTTCTTTTTTCATCTATTTACGATTCACATTAAGATCATCGAGCGTCATTTATATTAGAACTCGAATTAGGCAACTCAATTAGTCAAGGGAGCTAAACTCGATAAGAATAGTTAAACTAATAAAGAGTGACTTATAGAAGACGCCGTATATTCATGGATCTATGGTTAGTTTGAGTTATATGACCGTAGCAGGACACAATTTTGTTCAAATACGGATAAATGTACAATGAAAGGGAGGTTTTAAAATTCTGTTGCTGTTCAAATTCTGATAACGCTCAGAATAAGATATATTGTGAGAGGAAACAGGATACTTTTTGCTGGTTTAAAATTTTGCTGTCTTGAGAAGTATGACCGCTGTTGGTCGGCATGCTTACTAGTTTTGAACAAAAGACGATAATCTTGAGACGTGTGTAAGTAATTGGTGGGGGGGGGGGTCCTTTATTAACACTATGACGGCCACATCTATATCTAAAATACACAGCATATAATTCAGTTGGGATGCAGAAGCGTGTCTCTGTGCATATCCACTCATCATCAACGCCCACACTCTGAAGAATAATTTAAAAATTGAATCTTCTTGCTAAATGTGCAGAAAACAGCAGTGGACAACAAACTAATCGCTAGAGAAAAATTATTATTTTCAGCGAAAAGTTGTTGTTCAGGTCAAAAATAAGATCTTCTATATCAAGAAAAATATAACAGCATTATCTGAGTAGTATACCTAATTATGATGCATATCGATCTAAAGATGAATGAATGAATCAATAAACACATAGACACATAAATTCCATTTGAAAAAGTGAAAACCTAGTGGGAAATGCATGAATGCAGCTGAAAAATACACGAGATCAGCAGAAAAATGGTTTGCTACGATTTTTTCTATGGGTTTTTATTTTTCCTCTGAAAATGTATGTATATAAGTAAACTTTAACTGATTCTTTTCTCTCATAGAAAAATGATTCAAAGATTATTCCTATTCACTATGAAACTAGGATGATACGAGGCATTTTCCTTAAATTACTTATCAGGTTTCATAAATCGCACATGATTTTCTCTATTAAAGACGACATTGTTCCAATGGAAATTCATTTTTTATTAGGATAAGATGTCCGTTTAGTCTGATTTTTGCGCCGAGCATTTGATTTTTGCTGAAAATATTTATTTTTGTCAGCGATCGAAAAGTTGTTGGACCCTCGTAGAAAATGGATAGATTCAAGTAAATGATAACATCATTAAATGATATTTTTCGTTATTTGCCTTTACTTTAGGGGACTCATCGATATAACTAAGAGAAAAAAACAAGCAAATCAATAGAATAGTTTTCTTCCTGATATGGAGGTGACCTCTACATCTCCCAAATTGAATTAGAAGGAATACATTGTCTGAATTGATTCATTGTTACTTTACTAGACAATGTAACGAACTAAATTACATCATTCATTTTTAATCATTATTGTGTTTAAAGAAACGATGGTTCTGATGGAAACCAGTCTATAAGGAAAGGAACTTATGCTGCTTCCATTCATATCTGTACTCACTATTTTATTTTTAAAGAATTTCATTAAAAAAGTACATTAGAAGTAAACGTTAAATAAATGTTATGGATGAACTGATTAAAAAAGATATTGCAATCCAATGTAGTATGATTTGAATGAGGTCATAATGGTTTTTTTTTCTATAGACGCGTTACACAATCATCCTCCTCTTCATAGCCTTCAATTTCAACATGTACGAACAGAGTTGAATCAGTTAGACCATTGTCCTTCGATCGCAATCGCATATGACGAAAACCTAAAGTAAAAAATTCAACNGCGTTTAGAATTATACTCAATAATTAAAGGAAGCTATTTATCAGCCGCTAAAAATGATTTTTCTTTATTATTTCTAATTTGTGTTAGTCAAGATATATTGAATATTTATTGGAATTATTTGAAAAAAAAAGGAATGCGAAAAAGAAGCTGATTTTTTTAATTTAAATTTACTATTTTTTGTTGAGTAGATGACAAAAAAATTTCCTTTTCTTTTTGTTTCAAATAAGTTGATGAGTGTTGAATTGTCAATATATATATAACGATGTTTGAATTATTTAAAATTAAAAATATTGTTCAAATTATAAGTTTTCTACATTTAAAAAAACTAATACTATTACAAATAGTTTTGTTTATATCTAAAGATATAATAATAAATGGCCTTTTATTTGGTTTCATAAAGTAAAAAAAATGAGTCTTTCATTTTTAGAAAATAAAATTTTGCTAAATTTTTTTCCCGTAAAAATCTAAGATTTTATTTTTTCCAGATATTTCGGAGAAAACTATATCATCTTCATTTTAAACTGTATGATTGTCTAACTTTAAATAAACTATTTTCATTCTTTAATTTCTCCATTTTTTCAAAAATAACGAATTTCATTTTCTTTATTTTATAAAAATAAGGATTTTATCCTGTAAATGTAAATATTTTATTTGATAAATATTATAAATATAAATATTTTATATATGATTATTTTATGAAATACAGATAAATAAAATATTCATATTTATAATATTTACAAAATAAAAATAAATAAAAAAATCTTCATTTTTTAAAATTTAAATCTTAAATCTTAATTTTTATTTTATAAATGTAAATTTTATATTTTATTGATATTATAAATATAAATATTTTATTTATAATTATTTCACGAAGTAAATATTAATCACAATATCTACATTGTGAAATCTTATATTAAAGAGAGAAAAAAGAATTATTCATTTGGTTCAATGATATAAAAACACTTTCAAGTCATGGATGGCTCAGAGCTAGTTGTGCTTGGTTCGCAATCA